AATGCAATATGGTATCCTGGATTTGATCCTGGGATAGAAATTCCAAAAGTTTAGTTAACAGTAATGTAGCAGTATCGGTTTCCTTGACAAATGCACCACGGTAATGTAAAGTGTTTAACAATGAGAAAAACTGGGGGAGGAATGTACAGGAATGCCCTGTATTACCTTTATAACTTATTCATAAATCTAAAATTATTCCAAAATAAAAATTTGTTTCCAAAAATTCAGTGGTGGATAACAGATGGCACACTTCAGAGAATGTATTAGGACTTGCGGAAGGAAATCTGCAGGTAAACGTTCAGATCATCCTATATGGGCATTCAGTATTTACATGCTTCATGGATTTAAGTATCATGTCATTACAGCAGATGTTTATACGAGTAGACACAATAAAAGTAAATTGAATGATTTAGTTACACTTTCTCCCCATAATCTTTCTGTGATATTTACTAGTATTTTCAATTCTATTTTTGAAAGTAAGAAAGTGGGTAGGGGGAGGTGGTGTGTGCAGTTTGAAGGGAGCTGCCTCAAGCCAGGAAGAGCTCAGCATAGAGGAAGTCAGCCTCTATGACCTCCGTTGAGTCTGGCTTTATGGACCTGCAGACTGATGAGCACTGTGACAGCAGGGCCTCTCCAACAACAACCTCCACAGGCATCACAGCTACCATTTTTGGAGAGCACGGTAATGTGCCAGACTTCACACCATGGGTTCCATATACAGCATTACATTTAACCCTCAGCACTGAATGGGGTTATAATTATCTTTTCATTTTACAGATGAGAGATCTGATCATCAGAGAAATTAAATGACTTTGTCAAGGTTGCAACTGAGATTCAAACACCAAAATTTCTGACTTTTCTACTAAATCACCAAACAAGGAAATTCCATTAGGGCAAATGCTTAACTAAATACCTAGTTAGGGTACAATCCTAGTATTATTAATGTTAACCAATTTATTGATATATTATGCATTATATGTTATAAACATCCAGATAATACTGAATTATACTGAGATCATGTATGTGAAAGCATTGTCAAACACTATATTTGATATACAAAATGTTAATTCCCTATCCTTACAAACTACATCTGTTTTCTATTGGCTCCAAGCTCTTTTTTACTGCTTGTGTTTTAGACCCTAGATCTGTGTAAATTATCATGGCAATTTAAAAGTGCAGAATAAACTGGTGCCCAGAGTGAAGTTTAACCAGTCTGCACGGGAATAGAGTTAAATCTGGGGGAATATCAAGTTATCTCAGATTTTTTAAAAATGTATCATATGTCAATGATTCTATTCTGGGGTTAGAAATATAACAGATTTTTAAAAACAGGTTATCCTTTGCCTAGATTATATTATTATAAGCTTTATTAAGGACACACTTGCCACTTGTATACTTCTTTTTTTTTTTTTTTTTGAGACGGAGTCTCGCTCTGTCACCTAGGCTGGAGTGCAGTGGCATGATCTCGGCTCACTGCAAGCTCTGCCCCCCGGGTTCACGCCATTCTCCTGCCTCTGAGAGTAGCTGGGACTACAGGCGCCCGCCACCATGCCCAACTAACTTTCTGTATTTTCAGTAGAGACAGGATTTCACCGTGTTAGCCAGGATGGTCTCGATCTTCTGACGTTGCGATCCGCCCGCCTCAGCCTCCCAAAGTGCTGGGATTACAGGTGCGAGCCACTGCGCCCGGCCCCACTTTGTATACTTCTGTTTATGAGAGTGATTTTCTGATATCATTATTACAGATTTGTTTTAATTTTTTTAATATGGCCACTTTCTCTTTATGCTCTACCTCTTAAGATGAATAGACTGTCCCCTCTTGCAAACCACAACTTTTATCTGAGGGTTGGTAAATTCTATGCAGTGAGGAAGACTTTTAGTGTCTTACATAAGTCTGAAATTTATCAGCAAGAGCTGAGGGAAAGATTGACAAGGACTAAATTTTTCCAGGATATTATTTTAGAAGGATTGACCCCCAATGAGATGGGGCTAAATGGAAGAGGAATGGGAAATATCTGAAAGAGTATAGTCATCTTTCTCTGTGCTAAAATAAGCAAAGCAATTTAAAGGGCTGCCATCCAATATTATTAGGGAGCCCTGCATTACGGACAGAAGATGGGCTTTGTTACATGACAAACATGCGAGCTTATTATCTAACGTGAACAATGAGCAAGATTCTGCTAAACATGATGGAGAAGAACCACATTTTGCCTGAAAATATCACTTGGTACACCACCAAGAAACGGAACTAACTTCAAACGCAGTGCCACACTACTGCTCTAGCTCAGACTTTGATGACAATAAATGAATGACCTAAGAGGACTCACTCTCTTTGTTCTGGGATGCAGGTCTGTGTACATTCCTAGAGTCCCTTTTATCTAGATGTGTTGTGCAAATTTCACTTAATTAATGCTTCTGAAATAACATTTATTTTGGCATGCACCTCATAGATGGACTTAAACTTGTTTTTCTCTTTATACTCAGTTTGAGCCCTGTCAGCCTTCCCATGAATCTGTATTCTGTTTCAAGCTGGAACCAGGCTAAAGAGCAAAGGTGAGTAGGAGTGAATCCAGAACCTCAAAGGATAAACTTTCCTGAAAAACCACAGGTTAGAAGCACCATCACCACATATTAAAAGTAGAATCACTGCCGGGCGCTGTGGCTCACGCCTGTAATCCCAGCACTTTAGGAGCCCAAGAAGGGCGGATCATGAGGTCAGGAGATTGAGACCATCCTGACTAACATGGTGAAACACATCTCTACTAAAAATACATAAAAATTAGCCAGGCATGGTGGTGGGTGCCTGTAGTCTCAGCTACCTGGGAGGCTGAGGCAGGAGAATGGTGTGAACCCAGGAGGCGGAGCTTACAGTGAGCTGAGATTGCACCACTGCACTCCAGCCTGGGCGACAGAGCAAGACTCCGTCTCAAAAAACAAAACAAAAAAAAAGTACAATGACTGAGTTGGTCACTTTTACTTCTAATCCTTTTATTGATTTCTTCAAATCCAAATCATTGGAATGAGTTTTTAAATCTTCAGAATAACTCCTTTATCCCCGTTTTGAGGTTTCTTTGTTCTTTGGGGTCCCAAAGACACTGTTGAATTTATTTGGCTTACCTTTATGCCATCACTTCCCCCCATTTGACTTAAGAAGTTTCTTCACGTAGAGATTTTATCACATATGCTGAGTAAAGCACTTGCCAGAAAATGTCATCTTCTTGGAAAAACTCAAACCACAATTACCTCCAGCAATGGTGGACAGATAATGCCACAGAAAAGATAAAACAGATAATTGAAAGCTACAGATAAGCTTCAAATCTCATTTCACCTAAAAATTTCAAATGTGTTCCCACTCCAAACTGAATTTCTTCAGAGTTGATGGTAAGTTGCAAAATATTACTTGAGATCTGTTATCTTCTTTTAAGAACTGTTAGCTATTTGTTTGGAAGCTTAAAACAAGAAAGAACATAAAACACTGTTCTTTATGATTAGCAACCTTTAGAAGTCAATGTAACTTACATTGTAGCTACACTTCCCACCACAAAAATATATGTCCATCACTTTATGGATCAAATTAGATTATATGCTAGTCTGTCACTTATATGCTCAATTATATTAGAAAATGTAATATGTTGTTTACAGAAGGAAGAAATCTAGAGGTTTGGGGAATTGCTCCTCCTCCAGCTCAGACTTTCCTATCAAAGGAAATGAATGTAAAGTATGGAAGTGAGAAGGCTGGGGAGAAGCCAAAAGGTATTGATGTCTAAGGAAAACAATGTAAAGGGTTAAGGAAGCTGAAGCAGCTGAGAGAATTAAGAAAGAAAATTCACAGCAAATTCTCTAGTAGATTCAGTGATTAGGCTACCAGGGATATGGCTCCTCACCTCATGCCAACTTCAGATTGTAGAACCCCTGTACCCAACCCTGGGATTATTCTTGGACCTCAGAATTTCCATCCACTAAAGCTTACTTTAGATCAGTCTCAGAAACCAGAGCTCAGAAAAGACCATCCCAGGAAGGTTTTCCTACTATTAGTCCTGCCAGTTTTAACTATTTTCATCTTTTACACAGGTAGCGAGGTCTACACCTAGAGACCATTTGGGGACTGGGTTCATAAGTCTCTAGTTCTACATAAAAGTAATTTATTTATATCAGCATCATTAGCTATTCCCTTGGACACCAGTTTGCCTTATCTTCTTTGACTTTATTGCAGTTGACTATTGGCCCCCACATTTAGGAAGGAGCCAAGAACCCTAATATCTAACACTCTCATGGTCTTAACTTCTTCTGGCTTATTTTAACCAATCACCTCATAAATTATTATATAGACAGAGATTTAAAGCGGTGATCAGAATGTACCAGAAAGTAAAAAGTGTCCAAAACATACCAATTGACTAGTGAGATGAACTAACAATTAGCTATGTATTCAAAGCAGCATACAGAAAATACATACAATGAGAAGCAATTCATATGTTGACTCAAGTGTAGGTTTCAAAAATAATGACACCTCATCATCAATGAATCACTTTATCATCACAACGTTCCTGTGGGCCCTTCTCTGACTTTATATAATAGCATAATATCTAGAAGTGCTGAATGTGCCTCTTTGCCACACCTATGTGACGAATGAGGGCAGTGTTTGCTAACGCAGGCTCCAAGAAGAGATTTGTGTTGTCTCAAGAGTTTTCTGGATGGTGCGATACCATTGGTATCACCAACTTTTTGCTTTCCTCATTTTAGGCAAATCTGAGACTAAAGTGGCAAATAAGCCAAGAGTTCCTGACTTGGCATCCACAGCAGAATTTTAATCAGCTGCTTTCCTCTTCCAGTTCCTTTTTCTGTAGCCCATACATTATCACTTGGAGCTCACATGTTACTATGTTTCGCTTCACTTCTCTAACCATGATTTTCAGGCACAAGGATAAATGAATCTACCCATCAAACCAAGGAGGATCAAGAAGCTGAAGAGAGGCTGATCACAAGAAATCAATCCAACTTACAAGCTTCCCGGAGTTTCTCCTTGTCATAGTGGAATCCTTCATAGTCTTGCAAACTGATTTTGTTCACCCGGATCCTCAGACGATCTGGGACAGACTGGGGACTGCAAAACAAGAACCGAGTGATCAGATACAAATGAGAGAGTGGAATTGGTAGCCATGCACCTGAAGGACTAAGGGCAATCTTATCTCTTCATGTTTAGAAGTAAGAGTTCACATTCAAACTGGAAAGGTGGGTTCCTTATCAGAATTGAACAGTGATCTGGAGAACACTTCTCCAGAAACCAAAAGTTGCTGGAATTTAGGTAAGAATATGGAAATATGCAGAAAGAGCCTTTGGAGACCACTTTTATATCGTATTTTCTGTTGAAGTTTTAAAACATTTAATAAGATCATGTGCTTGTTACATAATAAATTAGATTCAGTGAACTGAAATAGTGGGAGGTGGACTGGAGCTTTAAGAACCACAGACAGATATGCACATCACAGTAAGACATGGTCAGGGGCAGCCTGACCCTCAGAGAGATGGAAAAACTATCTTTAAAAAGCAGACTAAGAGTCCAGAAGCCACAGGGCTGAGACTGAAGTAGCTCCACACAGCTCAATAGCCTCTGACAGCACCTCTCAGTCAAAGCGTAATACAATAAACACTGCTTGTGATGGTGGCTCTGAGCATTCCAAAATGAAGAAAAATGTTTAAATATATATAGTGTTCTTTCTTTAGGAAGATAATGAAATGTGTAACTCATTTTGAAAGAATTCAATGAATACTGACTCCAGACACATATTAAGCAATAAAATGGTGCAGTACCAAACTTTCTGAACATCTATTCACTCCCTAAATGTCTATAACTCGACTCCTTGATTTTCTTAAGCAATATTTTGAAAGTGGTTTAATCTTGGCCATTAGTTGAGTGAAATAATCTGGTTTCCATCACCACCACGATGGATCAATACATTTCTTCAATATATTAATATAACACAACACCTACTTGTCTTCGAATACTACCTTATACTGGGATTTCATTGGTTGAGAGAATTTTCTCAGACAGAGGCTTCTCTTTTTTTATATATTAAATGGTGATAAAAGTCACCACTGACTAAAGTCATTGACTAAAGTAGAAAGAATGGCATTATTCTTTAATTTTTCCTGTAAAGGAGGAAAAGGAAGGAAAGAAGAAAATAGAAATAAAAAAGAGAGAGAAAGAGGGAGGGAGAGAGGAAGGGAGAGAATGAGGGAGGGAAGGAAGGAAAACAGGAAAGTTAAGAATAGATGAAAGAAGGGAGTATTGTGTCTACAATATTAGGACACCCCTCTCTACTTCACTTCAAACACACACACACACAGAAACACAGACACACACTCATTTAATTTCAGTAAAACTCTGAAAGAGGGAGTAAAAAAATCTCATTCTCTTGTCTGAAGCCTCATTTTAGTGCAAAGTATAGTAACTCCCTCCATATGGAATCCTACTTTACTCACCCAAAATAACACATACATAGCAAACTATAGATACATATGTGCACACTCACACATGGTACATTCTCTCTCTCTCACACACACACAGTGAGACAGAGATTTAAACTGTGGCTATTTAAAAGTGTAGATATACGTGCACAAATTCTAAAGAGAGATGGTAGACAGGTAAAAATGTCTGAGGTTCACTGGCTTAAAAAAGTCAGTATAAAACTACAGAGATGGATATTTCTGGGGGAAATTTGAAAAGACAGATTCAACAGCTATATTGATCCATCACTCGAAGTGTGTTTGTTGAGTATTTACTTTATATTACCATCATGCTGGACATCAAAAAGGTATTGATGAATAAAGCCGAAGCATTTAAGTTGTGGTGGGAGATATAGCTTGACAGTATATTTGTAGATACAGACCTTCAGTTAGCAGAACAGACCTTGAATATAATGAAAACTCACAACATCATTTACAGGTAGGGAAAGTGAGGTTCAGAAAGATGAAGTGATTTTAAGGACACATAGCTGCTAAGCAGCAGTGCTAAATGCAAAGCCTTGGACCCTTCACTCACCAGTTTCATGTTCTTTCTCTGCTCCTCTGAGGAGTTCAGACTCTCTTGTCAATGAATAAATACCAAGAATCCCATGGATTTGACAGCAAAGCTATAAAGTCTGGATTAGCGGAGTCTGATGATCTCTGCGTGCTGCTCAGATTTCTTTCTTTACCAATAAACAATCATCAGGCGGGATGGTTAAGTAAACCAGAGAACACTGGGCAGAGAGTACAAATGAATGTGTACGTCTTTATTCATTTAGAGGGAAGTATGGCTACAACATGCTGTGAAGTGAAAAAAAGTCACGAATAATTATATATGGCATAAGCTCCTTCATATCAACTGTGGACTTTAGGAGTTTGTATATGCAAGAGAAGTGCATGGAGACATGTCCAACGAGCTGTTGCAAGTTGCTATCTCTGTGTGGTGAAGCCTGGGCATTATTTTATATCAAGTATAATTTTTAAGGAACTAATATCATTTTAAAGGCATGTCCATATGTAAACAAACAATAATGCAGGACAAGAATAAAAATAACGCCTATAGCAAAGAGTGTTAGGAATTAGATGCAAGTAGGGAGGAAAAAATTTATGCAATTAACACCACACAGTGTTCACATTAGATTTTTATCACCAAAAGTGTCTAATAATCCCTTTATTTCCAAGTTCACTCAACTGATCTGCAAAGATTGTAACTAGAAAATATTTTCCTGCACACATAGCAGATAAGAGGGAAGCTGGAACCATAGAATGTAGTGGCCTAGCAGACCCCAAAAGGAGAAGTTGAGTGGGGGCAGATGTTGAATGAACTCTATCTAAGCAATTTTTTGAGATAACAGTAAATCTAATGGCAGTGGGCTTCAGTCTTCTCTACTGAGCTGGAGGTATCAGGACTAAGACCTCACTTGAGCAGTACTTGCAAATGGGAAACGAGATTTGGAGAATGACTGCTAACCAGTTCCTGGGCCCTGCTTCCTAGAGCTCCCCGATTTGGGGCTTACCAGTGTGTATCACCTTTCTCAAAACCCATAAAGTGGCTGCTCCCTGTCCACATGCATCTACCTCCCAGGTTTTCATCTATGCCCTCTGATTCCAACCCATGCACTGTTGTCTCCTGAACCTCTGGACACCCACTACTCTATCCTAACTTCCAGGGGGCACACCATGGCATAAAACAGACACTATTATTTGAATCAAACTTTATAGATCCTAAATGAATTCACATATGTTCTCAGTTCATCTCCAGAATGATCAGCTAAGCAAGACAGAAGAAAACAGAGACTCTCTAACCACCGCTTAACACTTTCTCCCATCTACCTTCCTACACATTCGCTCCCTTGCTCTCAGCTCCCATCCTTCCTCAACAACTTGCAACACTTCCCACTTTCCCACTAGCAGCAGCTTACTTAAACCCAGTCTTCTGGGCAGGGTATCTGTTTTCTTTTTTAATCTCCTATTAAAAGATGTCCCAGTTGAGACTCATCAGCAAATTTTAGGGCATTAGACCCTAGGGTCAATAATGGAAAACCTTGAATCATTTGCAACCGTGGTGTAAACAGCAGGTATGGGAGGCAACACAGCAAACTGGTGAGGAGCTCAGGCTCCAAGTCAGATTGCCTAGATTTCAAGTAAAATTCTCCCAGTTCCTAGTTAATCAGGAAACTCTGAGCTTCAGTTTCCTCCTATGTAAAGTGGAGATGATAACAGTATCCACCTCATAGGCATATAAAGAGAATTAAATGAGCTGATACATGTGATATGCTTAGAAAAATGCCTGGCACATTGTCAGTGCTCAATAGATTTTAGCTATTATCATCATAATAATTACTCTGAAAATTGTTCTCCTAGATAAGGTCCTACCTAATACTCAACAGCATATGCTGCTTCTGCCAGATACTGGAAGATGTTTAGAGCACATAAAGGAACCTCCCTAAACATATCTGACAAGGTGCTGGGCTTCCTCTGGGGGGAGATTGTCTAGCTTGGCTGGGGGCATGACATTTTACACTTCTGGGTCCTCTCCCACCTAGTATTTTTAAAGGCCAACTACAAACATGAAAACAGACAGCTAGAACATGGGGGAGTGGAGGGAAGTACATAGAGATTAAATGAAAGCCAAGTCATTCATTTTCGTACCTTTATGTCAAAATATATTAGTGTCCCATTAATGGCTGACTGAAGGCAGAGGATGACAAAGCTGTTCTTTGGAGTCTGTGGAATAGCACTGCCATTAGTTTGCTAAAATTAAATTTTGTCTGGGAAGTTAGTAGAGCACAGAAGAGACAAACAACCTGGGTAAAAATAAATTTGCCTTCCTGCCAACATCTGCCACAAGCTACTGCCATACTGATTAGGCTCTGGATCAGGGGTTCTAAACCTGGCTTCCATGGAACATCTCAAACTCCCTAGAAGAGATTCAGCAGTCTGTGAATTCCCTTTCATATTGGGATAATGGCCTAAACCTGTCGCCTTCTCACTAAGGCAACAGGTTGAGGTCACTACCCCAATTCTCTGCAACACTGTGATTGAGATCCTTATGCAGAGTGGAAGTTCATGACTCTGGACTTAATTCCCAAATGTCTCCCATGAGCACTTTCTCAAGAACCATAATAAGAGTACTTGTTGAATCACTCGGGTGGGTTTCCAATAACCTCCATGCCACAGCTTCCCTTATCCATGTTATACACACCTTTTACCCTGAGATTTTGGAAGGGAGGTGGACTGACTTTCCATCAACACAACTCCCTGAACACTCACTGCTATTCAGTTTACACCTAAATTGTGCTATTCTCTGCTCTCCTGTAGATGTTGCCATAGCTTCTTTCTCAACTGTTCCCGTGGAGAATTTCAATCCATCAGAGTCATATTCCTCCCTAGTGCCCTCAAATGTCTTCCTCCTTTTGATCAATTTCTTTAGTACACACTATTCCTCTCAGACTGATAAGAGATGCCTCTCATTCAATCTCTGACCCAGGCCTAATCTCTTTATGGATAAAGTGGATGGGCTGAGTGTTTTGGTTCTCCAGAGTCACTTTCAAACCACAAACTCCATTAACTCATTCTGTCACTGGAAACATGAAG